CCAGTGCTCCTTCAAACGTTGATGAGCAGTATGGATTGTCTGGCCAACATAGAGACGCCCAGAGGGTATATGCACAACAGCATAAACAACTCCAGTAACAGAAAGCGGATCATTGCCTGGCTGGAGCAGCTGCTGGTCGATACCTCTCAGTTGTAGTTCAAAGCGTTCAGTTGCAGTGACAGTATGTAGACAGCGCAATTGCTTTTTATGCCACGTTATAGAGAGAGAGAGAGAAAGAGAGAAAGAGAGAGAGCGAGAAAGAGACAGAGAGAGAGATCATGCTTGGTGTGTGTATGCATGTGTGTATATATGCAGAGAGAGAGAGAGAAAGAAAGAGAGAGAGAGAGAGAGAGAGAGAGAGAGAGAAAGAGAGAGAGACGAGCCTGGAGGAGTGCTGTGAAGAGGCCTGAAAAGTACAGATCAAGACAACGAAACGATCCTAGCCCCTTGCCCCCTCTCACTGGCAATCAAAAACTTACTAATCAATTCTTCAAAGAGAACGCTCAGGTGTTCTATCCAAATAAAATGCCCATCACTGCACTGGGTTTTTTCTTCAATTTATCACTCGTGTCTAGTTCAGGGGAAGAATGTCGGAAGCTTTCCCTCCTCAGAGAAGCTTCAGAGACCTAGACAATTCCTTTTGTAATCTTCATTTGAGGCCCCTCGTCTCACTTATCTCATCTCACCGATTGTAATATAAACAACGCTAAGTGATTACGGCACACCAACCGATCAACCAGCGCACTCTTGTTCAACATGCACCCAGCCATAACGTAGTCAACCGTGCTCAACAATGTACTCAAACAAGTTCTATATCACACTGCAGAGAGCAGGTGTGCATATCGTTCTACACGATACACAACCATTGCATCGACTATGTGAGTGATGTCAAGAGACCTCTCTGTGACCGGCTGCAAACCATGAGGGCCTTTTTTTTCCCCCTCTCCTTTTTCCAGTAAACAAACCATAAGGTTTACGCATGAAACAGAGCGCACAAGTCACAAATGTGAGGTGGGACGGCCGTAAACATGAGATCAACCACCAAAGGGGAGTGACCAACTCGCATAGCCTGGAGGGGCTTAGCAACAGCCCATAATGCAAAGGCAAAGGCCACATAATCTTGAAGGACATATTTTCTAGCTTTCTTTTTCTTCCTCACAAAACTCAGAAGTCAGAACAATTTAAGATAAGCAGACTGAATGTCGGGATACCAAGCAGAATGAGGATAGGGAGACAAGCAGAATGAAGAAGAAAGGGAGGAAGGAGAATCACGGGTGGCACACAAAGGGGTAGGTGAGCACCTACAAGACAATCGAATGGACCCCCATGCCTCAATGGGTTTCTGTCCAAATCGTCAAGCATCTCTCCATACCTGCAAAATCAAAGTCAAACTGTCAGAGTCATAATCAAGGTAAAAAAAAAAGCTTCACTGACCACCACAGGCAGTCTGAGGCAGAAGGTACGACGAAGCAAAGAAAAAGGAGGGGAGGGGAGGGGAGGGGAGGGGAGGCTAGCTGTTCGGGAAGGCTGCAGCTAAAGAAGCTAAGCTTTGTCAATCGAATTCTAAAACGGGTGAATTTCCCAAAGCAACAGAAACAGAAACAAACAAAGTTAAAACAAACACATCACTCAAAACTGGCAATCCGCAAATATAGAAAACACCAAGCTGCCAGGAAGGGTTGGAGTGCGTGGGTGGTCGAGCAACTAAATCCCTTTGGTTACCTGAGTATGCAATATCTGCGCACTTGGTTGACTGGACAGAAACTCAACATGATAGAAATTCCAGGACACATCTAGCTTCCTACTTTTGCATGCACACAGTTGTATGCAAACACACAATTTCTCTCTCTCTCTCCTGTCTCTTATACACATCTAGATGTGTATAAGAGACAGCTCTCTCTGTGTGTGTGTGTGTGTGTGTGTGTGTGTGTGTGTGTGTGTGTGTGACACACACACACACACACGATCTTGGATAACCATGTTTTAACTCTCTCAATGGATGTGCATAGTGATTTGCTTTGTTAGCATCAAGCCCCTTCTTGCGAGGATGTAATATCTTGTCACACAACTATGAACTAAAAGAGCGCACTTTGCGAAACAAACGGTAAAGATAAAAAAAAACAAGACAAAGATGCGGGGCACACTGAAACCATTCATTTTTCTCATTCTTTCAACTCCCCCTTCACCGTGCCTCTCACGTACAAGGCTCACCACATTGATGAAGTTGAGCACGAGCTGCCCGCATTTCTGTGTGCCATAACGGCCCACTTGTATGCTGTGAGAAAGAGGCAAGGGGAGGTGATAAACACAGGGAAGAGAGATGAAGAGAAAAGACACAAAGAACGAAAAAGCGAAAGTAAGGATAAGAAAAGGCTCAAGAATGAGGCTGTCCTTGACGACAGAGAGGACACACATGGTAAAGATGAGGTGGATGGGCACATGGAAGACCTAGCTGAGCATTCTCAGCACAACAATTGCCACGACGAGCATGCCCAACATACACTCCCGACAAATGGCATGTCGGTTGCAGACCAAAATGAAGGAAGAACACTCACCACGCATTCAGTATAGCACCCATGGCCGCAAAATGGACATATAGTGTCCGGATGTGGAGGGTGCCTGCAGTCAGGAACGGAGGGACAGTCCTCTACACACATGGATGCAGAAACCATGTTATTGTAGTGATTGTGATAGAGACGATGGCGGCTACAGTCGAGTGTAACAGTGTCTGTAGTTGTCCAAAGGAGAAGGTCGCAAAGTGTTGGTACATTGTCATGCTGCAGCACAGGACCAGAGGAATGATCTTCGACATAAAAGAGATTGCGGACAGTTTGGTGTGGCAAGATTGCAGACAGTTTGGTGTGGCAAGAAAACAACATCATTATGTAAGAAATCAGTAACATCAGTCATGGCATCGACAATGATGCCGTTGTCCCACAACTCCCAGTGGTCAAAGGTATGTACATTAGCCATGTAATGGCCAGGTCCGTGCACAATGCAAGCAGAGATGTGGGATGGAGGATTAAACCACTCACCTGCTCGAGCATGGCATAGTTCAAGTTGGCGGTCGCTCATTGCTACTTGTAGGACAGCAATGGTACAGCCTCTTTCCCAGGTATAATTACAATCCTCTGGCTGTGGCTGGGGGAGATCAGCATCAAGCTGAAGGGCGATTGCAACGAAGTCTGATGGTGTATAAAACGGGCGGTGGAATATGTGAAGACAGATATTAGTTGCAGACCACAGAGATTGGTGAGGATTTCAGGCTGGAGTGCCGAATGCTGGCCAACAATTTGCAGATCACCCTGATGGTGTTGCAACTTGCAAGCCCAAAATGTTTTGGGTTGCTTGCAAGTCAGTCATTTGCAGATCATCCATGTGGTCCGCATGTGGTGGGGCACAAATTTGCGGTTCATCCAAACGACACTGGTCAGCCATTTGCAGATCCCCCATGTGGTCTACGCCTTGTGGGGTTAACTGCAATCCGTGCAGATCATGTTCCAATCCCTCAACGTTTGGGGCCACATCCTGAGTAGGGACTGTCCTTGGAATCGGGAGTGTACTCTGGGCAGGGACCACATCCTGTTGCACAGGCGAGTCATGAATATCTAAAGCTGAAGGGCATAAAACATGGTGCTGTGGCTTCCTGCAGGCAGCTGGACTGTCTACAGGAGGCATAGGAGCAGATATTGCCATTTGGAACAAAGGAACTGCAACAACCCGTGGAGCAGGAACAGAGAGATTTGGGGCACACAAAGAAACAGGCAGCTGATCCCCCGTCAAGTGACGATGCCGCGCATGTCGTCGATGATACACAATAAGAGGAGTAGTGGTGTTGCAAACAGAAGATGAACATGTCCCTGGCAACAAAGGTGGATGTAATATATAACACACACCATGCCATGTATCAAAGAGGGATCTCCGAGTCTCCAACCACTTGATGCGAAGCAAAGAAGTATGAAAGAGAGGCAGAAACACAAGAGAGAGAGAGAGAGAGAGAGAGAGAGAGAGAGAGAGAGAGAGAGAGAGAGAGAGAGAGAGAGAGACTGAAATATTTGCACTCCAAAGGCTCTGCATTGTAAAGCATTTGCAGGATAAGCCCCAGCATGTCCAATTTTCAGCTGTGCTGTTGTTGTGACTCGGCATCCTTCAGCGCATATATAGCACTTAGTGTTCAAGCTCAGATAGGAGGTGGAACCAATTTGCTTCCACTTAGTATTTGAGCAGAGTGCAATGACATGATAGAAGTATACAGCTCACCTCTGTGCAAATTTTTCTGCCCTCTCTTCCGCGTCATTGACAGAACTATCAGCTGCTGCTCGTGCCCTGTGAACAGATACACAGCAACCAACAAAAGACAGAAAGACAAAAAGAGGAGAAGGTGAGCAGCAGAGCAGCAAGTCCATAAAGTCGGACGGAGCAAGAAAGGGGAGGTCTGATAGATTGAGAGCGTACTCACACTCGCACTTTCATGGATGTGGCATTGTGTTCAGGGACCCTGAATATTACTGCATCAGACCATATTTATAGCATGTATACATTCACAATTAGGGTGTGCTGTACTTAGTGACAGATGGTGGCCTAGCCTCTAAACATGTGGGAGCGAGAGAGGCGATATGCACCAAGGGAAAGCATAGTGCAGGAGGGGAAGGGCAGTTGCAGACTCTGGCTGGGTTGGGGAGTGTTGCTGCTTCACGGATTTTCTTTTTTTTCCTTCCAACAGCAAGTCTTAGACTAGAAGACCCTCAATAATGCAAGTCCTCATTCCATAAATTAAAACAGGAGTACAAAAAAAAAAAAAAGATTGGACAAGGAACAAAAATACTTGCGTTTACCGTTCTGAGTAGCTGTCTATCAACAGCTACCGTCTTCCCCCGAACCCCATCTTGACCGTATCCGACCAAAAAGCTAGCTAGGGTGTGTTGTGTTCGGGGGAAGACAGTACTACATGCGCTTCAAAACATACAAGGATTTTTCCAAACTTACGTAAGTGCGGTCAAGGTCATCCAGGTCGAGCCCCAAAAGTGGCCCAATACATTCAGGGAAGTCCTCGCATGAGTATCCCCTCAGTCAAATAGGCTGGGTAGTTTACCCTTGCTCACGATTTGCTCCTACCGTAGCAGGCCCACACCATTGTACACCACCTGGACAAGACGTAGGAGCTCAGTTGGTTAGAGCTCTTGAGTAGAATGGGAGAGGTCACAAGTTCGACTCCGGTCGACCCTCATCCACTTCTGTGCAAGTCCAGTTGGTGTTAGGTTCGCACCCACATACTTGACCCCCACCCTGGCACACTGCACATGGCTGATATGATACAGGGGGTCTTTAGGGGGGTGACATGGGGGGAACACTATTCCATTGGGCACCTTTCTTGGGAGGTAGTGCCGGGGGAGGGAGCATCACTCTCTGAAGGCATCATCGTGGAGGGTGGCGAGTGTCCTTGTAGGGGGCGAGTTCAGCATAGGGGCCTCGACTACCTTGAATCGCAAGGAAGGGGGTTGGGATTGCAGGGTCTGCGCCTCTTGGCCAGCGGCAGGTAAGGGTCGCTGCCGTGTTAGGTGGCATGGCATTTCTACAGGATACAGAGACAGTTCAGTGAATGTTTGAACACATACAAACTATTACAAAGTAGATTGGGCATATATATCGTACATGGCTGGATAAGGACTATGCAGAATTCAACAGACTATACACCAGCACAGACATCGATACAGAACCAGAACAAAGGGTGTAGCTGACCCGCCAGCTGACCACATACAGAAGGCTGAACAATAACAAACAATCTGATCAGAGTAGACCACATACAGAATGCTGAATAACAACTAATAACGTGGTCACATAGAGAATGTGGAAACAGAAGTAGAGGATATGACTGATTAGGGGAAAGGGCTCTCACAGGTTAGATCTTGGCTTAGGCCATCAGACACTGCCCATGATAGCCCAAGCATGGATATTCTAGGTGTGGAGCCCTGCATGGGGAACATGACTGATGATGTCCTCATCAGGTTTTGTCGTGCCTACTGTCTTCACCCGAATAGAATGCCCGGTCATTACAGCCGTATTTGGTGCAACTTTCAGTCTACATACAGTGATCATGACCGTACATGGTATGTGGGTTAAGACGGTGGCAACCAAAGTGCCCGTCCAGCAAGGCTCATTCAAAGCACTTCAACCAGGGTCCCACCTGCCCAGCACCGGTGCTTGTGACTACTGTCCACAAGGGTCGTCCGCCAAGATAGATTGATGATGGGAGGGGAGCATCACCATGGAGGGCAGTGAGCGTCCTTGTACAGAGTGAGTGTGAAATACGGTTTTGTGTGTACTATCCTGAATAGCAGGTGGTGGGTTGGGCTATAGGGTGCGCTACAAGGTGGGCCCTGCCGCAGGTGGCAGAGTAGCATCACTGGATGGAGAATGGATGTCCTGAGTGCTAAGAAGCCGGAGGCCTATAGACAGGACACAGGGGGTGTGCTAGGAGACATATAATGAGCTTAAACCACTAGTACACGGCCCCAGCCTTGCAGTCCAAAACTTGTCGCCACAAGAAAATCAGGCCAAAACGTCAAACGCTGGGCCTGCCGGTGATAACTTGGAACGGCGGTCGTGTTTTCGTTTCGCGCGCAGATTTCGAGGTGTCAGGCCCGCGGCCCAGGTGCCCATGTACTGCTGCTTTAAACCACCAGTACTTGGCCCAGCTATCGAAGCCGAGCCTCCCAGCCCCCTGCGCACCAAGTCCTGCCGAACCACTGTCGGTCTTTTTCGTTTTCATTTTGGCAGTGGCCTCCAGCCAATGCGGTCCGGTAGGCCGAAGCCCGAATGCCGCGGCGCGTTAACGGGGAAGCGCCGCGGTCGATAGCTGGGCCAAGTACTGGTGGTTTAAGCCGCTAGTACATGGCCCCAGCCTTGCAGAAAGTTTTTGTGGCCGCAAGCAAAACTCGGAGGCGCCACGCGCCAAGTGGGGCCGTTGAACAAAAAAATTGGTGAGCCTATGTGTGGTGTACTGGTGCTTTAAAATGAAAAGGGGCATTCATGAGGGCAGGAAAACAAAACGCAACAAAACAAAACAAAAACAAAAAAAAACATTGTAAACCACCTCCCCTCCTGGCCGTAAGCCCCAGTCAGGTGCAGAAAAGAACCTAACTCGCAAAACAGGCTGGCGCAGGTTCAGCCGAGGTGCAAATTGAAAACATTCCCCGGTCAGGCCTGGTCGGGATACCGGCCCAGGCTCAGGTTCCAGTAACAAAAATCAGTGACGGTGTAAGTCACTGCAAACCATGGTCAAAAGGAGTCCTTTTTCCCCTTCCAAAAGGAGTTTACCACTGAGAAAAAGTCAAAGTGCATGTTGACCACGACAGATTAAATGGTCAAAAGGAGTCTTTTTTTTCTTCCAAAAGGAGATTACTGCTGAGAAAAAGTCAAAGTGCATGTTGGCCCCCGCCTGATTGGCGGTGGTCAGGGAGAAGGGTGGGGCCG